AAACCAAGAAATATGATTAGTGGTATTATTTGATAGATTTTAGGATTTTTGGGAAAATGTGCCAATGGTGCACCACTAGGGGTAAAACAATAATTTCACCAAGTTATCGGAAAACTCTGGATTCATCTGTTAAAGTGTAATCGAAAAGGACTTTGATGAATGTTAAATTTTTTATTTAATGGATGGTTTATGAATTAATTGGAGTTTAGGTGAGTTTAAGTGAGATGGCACTTGTGGGGCCCATCCCCATTTAAGTGACTTATGAGCACATGTGAGAAATCAGTTTTTTGGATCATCTTCCTCCTTCCTCCTTGCAAAATCCTTGCTCCCTCCATTGTTGGAGAAGAATGAAAGCTTAAAAAATTGAGACAACCATAACTTGAGTTCTAGGCCACCAAATTAAGTCATTCCAAAGCCAAACTTGTGTAAAATCTTGAGAGAAACACATTGCTACCCTTATTTTTGAGTGGGGATCATTGTGTGAAGAGATCCTTCTTGGAAGTGGGTGACGGTTTTGATGTTCAAGAGGGTGGTTAGTGGCAGTTTTGGGTCATCAAAGGCTTGAAGAACACTCCCTTGGACCTTAGGGGTTCATTGGTGGTAAGTAATTCCATTTCCATTGAGTTTTAATTGAGATCATAAATTTGAAGACCTAAGTGTATGTGTATGTTGGTTTGGGTAGTTGGAGACCTTGGATGACCATATAGCTTTGATGAATAATGCTTGGAATGATGTCTTGTGTGGGAAAATCAAATAAAATGTCAAGGCATTTGGAAATTTTTAACTTAGGCAAATTTTGGTTGATAAGCATAGGTTGCTTGCAAAACAAGTTATTGAGGAATGATATAAATGAGTTGTGGATGATTTGTTGAATGAAGGTTTCATGGATGTGAATTAAATGGAAAACCTTTGGAGCCCTTGAGGGGTACCCCACGGCCTAGGCTTGCATTTTTGGGAAAATTGTTCAAATCTATGTTTTGGTTTGATGAGTGGGTGTTGTGAGTGTTGGATTGATTAATGTCGAACCAAAATGGGTACATAGAACCATGAAAAGTGAGAAAATTCATTAGCCTTTTGTCTTGCGTGCTTTCGGCCTAGAGGGAAAGATTGGGAAAAAATGATGGTAAGTTGTAATTTAGGATAAATAAGGATGTTAATGATGATAAGAAAGGTTGTTGTAGCCATGGAAATGGTTGGTTGTGATTAAAACCCTATTGGTAATGTTTTTGGCCTTTTGGCCGTGGCATAGAGTAGAATTTTGGAAGATATTATGTTGTTTTGTTTGTCTCTTGTTGGACAAGTTAAATGATTGTCATATGTGTATATAGATTGAAGCTTGCAGATCCTATGTTGGGGATTGAGCTTAGAGCTTTCCATTGATAACCCTTGGATCCTTGAACTTTAGGAAATTGGTAAGTTACAAAGTTGTAATTTGATGAAATGTAAATAATTGGCTTTACATTGATATGTATGCTTAGTTGATTGTGTTTCCTTCACATCATGATGTAGGTGAATATTGAGTAACTACCTTGTGATAATCTTAAGTGTGATTACTTGTGAAGGAAGTAACTTATGGTTGAAGCTATTTATATTTGAAGCTTCAAAGAGGTAATCCCTTGGTACTGGGGTTAATCCCCTGTGTGCTCCACCATGCCTAGTGGGGTAGTGGTTGGAAGTTGTTGGATGCAATAGTATGTGTTATAACATGATCATGCATGTGTAGGTTGATTGTATATATGAGTTTATACCTATATCTCTGGCTAGTAGATAGATTGTCGTATGGGACTTCCTATGCAGAGGCCTTCGTAGAGAGTTTCAGTTGGCCGAGGCCATAGAGTTGTTATTCATTGAGAAGCACTCTGGGAGTGTCTCGAGAGTTATAGTTGTGGGTGCCTCGAATATATCCCGGGGATATATTCTTGGATGTGGACCTGATTGAGATTGTCGTATGTCGTAGGCCGTTGTGCCGTGTTGATTGATGTTATATTTATAGCTATATTATTATTATTATTGTACATCTGAGTGAGCCATTGGACGAAGTGATCCTCCAGAACCTTTGGGTTACTGAGATATATTCATATATCTCACCCTACGTTATGAAGCTATGTTTCAGGTTCATCTAGCGGTGCCACAGGAGAGTAGGCAAGAGGCCCACATAGTAATTAGCGTTTCGGCATTGGAATGCACCATGAGTTTTTGCATTTTGTATTTTGGGAGATTTTATTTAATATGCTAGACTTAGGGCATGAACATGTATCATTTTGTGGCTAAGTCTAGTGTTGATATAATTATTGTTATTTTGACATCATGGTGTAATAGTTATATTTGCTTATGGATTTAAATGTAATGGATATAATTAGGACCTTGTGTAATAAATTATGAATATTTTTGATGGAAGGGCAATAGCCTATTTTAGGTAATGATGTTATTTGATTATGAGGAATGCATGCAAATGAGACTATGCGATTGAAATGGTTAATAAAATGGATATCAATTAAGTTGTTGATGAATTACCTTAAGAATAAGCAACGATTGAATGAATATTTATTGTGGGTTGTAAGAGCACCAAGGTATGTTGAACCTTGTGTGCCACCCTTGGCCAATTAAGTACCATTTGATGATTAGAACACACTTGGAGTAAGTGGGAATTAGTTAATAAAACATAGGAGATGCCGTCGAAATTGCTAAGAAAATGACAAGTTTTATGCCTAACTTTGGAAGACTATATCTCCCTCCACAGAGGTCCCAATGGGGTGTGCCTTATATCATTTTAAAGCTTAAGATGTAAATTGTATGGCCCTAAAATGGTGTCGTTTAGAGTTGTGTAGCGCCCTATAGGTTGAATTGAGAGGAGACTGCCCAAGTCTAGCCTGTGTAGGCTGGTCTCAAGTTGCTGTTTTCAAAAAATTATATCTCCCTCAATTCTTACTCAAATTAGGCTTATGATATATCAAATTGAAGATCTAGGTGTCCATTATTTTGTATAAAAATTTGAGAGCATTTGATTGAGTAAAACTTTGAAAATCGCAGAAATAGTGAGGGATGTTAAGTGCCCTGTTTGAGTTCAGTTGGCAGTTTTGCTTATCTGACTTCAAACGGCTATAACCGGAGCTAGAGAACTCCAAATGAGGCGTGTGATACTTTGTTGAAAGGTGGAAGAGTCTAGTTTAGCATAGTAAAAGATGAGAATTTATTAATAAGTAGATCATGACCAATTTTAAGAAAATCAAAGCACACTTTGTTTTGGTAAAGTTGTAAAAATGAGTTTTATCCTATGTTGATTTATGGGAATCTCTTAGCAACTTAAAATAAAGTTTGTATGATAATTAGGCATTTAAAATATTACTTCCGCGTTTAAATTTCAATTGCGATCACAGTTTGTATAATTGCGTAATCCGATTGTTTAAATCGCATACGTAATAGAAAGAAAAAGTTTTTCGTATTTTTAGATAAACTATTGTCATTGTAACTGCACTTAATATCATAATCAATGTTAACACACTGGTCCGGTAGCGAGGAGTTACAAAGGGTGGTGATATCGCTTTGATACCATATTAGAAAATATGGAAAACATAAAATATGAGAAAAATTGATTTCATTGAATGATGATCATTCATACATAAATAAGGCTCTTATGTAAAAGAGCAAAAGAAGATTCTAGAACATCATAATATACCAAAATATTCCAAATAATATTTCTATTCCTATATTAGAAATATAGAAAAGAGAAAATAAAGAAAAAAAATGATTTCATTGAATGTTGATTCATTTGTACATAAGTGAGGCTCTTCTATAAAAGAGTAAAAGAAAATTCTAGAATATCATAATATACCAAAATATCCTAAATAATATTTCTATCCCAATAAATGTTATAAAAAAGGAACAAGGATTCGACCTTGGAACCAAAACTAGATAATTAACACACCTCTGAATTACATATCCCTTTCTTCATCCAAATTATTACACCATTCTAAAGCAATAATTAGGGTCATCAATAAATAAAAAATTGTTAACACATGACATAACTAAAAAATGTTAAGACTCTTGTTTGAGAGTTTGGAGGAAAAAAGAAAGAAGGAGATCCAAGGGGGTGTAAGGGGAAGGAAAAAAAAAGGAAAATGAAGGATATTATTCCCTTCCCCTTGTTTAGGAGTTAAAAATCCCCCTCAAATCCCCAAATTGGGATAACTCTAATTTTAAGGGTGATGCTGATTTTGGAGGATTTTACAAAAATCTCCAATTCCCTTCTTCCATTTTTTAAACTCAAAAAAGGGAAATACGAAAATAAAACCTTACACTTCTTTCCATTTCCCTCTTGATAATGACTCTCAAACAAACCCTCAACGTACATGAAACTCAAATTTATTTGATCGTATAATTACTACTTATTACACTTCTAATAAAAGAATGGTCCTTTTTTTTCTAGGGTCACTGCAGATGAATTTTTTTTTTGCAGCAACAGAAAAACTACATTTCCCATAAAAGAATATGTACTACATTTACCTAAATAAAAGAAGTAAAAATATTTTCTCATGATGCATGAGAATTCAATTCTCATGTTGTGACCCTTCGATTTGCGTGCAAAACTTTTCTTTTATTTTTCTCTTTTTAATAAATGTGGGGCCACCACTAGTTGCGTCACAACATGGAAATTCAATTCTCATGCAACATGAGAAAATCAAATCTCATAAAAGAATTTGTACTACAGAATACCGACCCTACCGGCAGCACAGTAAAACCATCATAGCAGAATGAGATTTAGTGTAACATCACAGGGTAGAACAAAAAAAATGATGATTTTATAAGGGGAAAGATCTGTTGACAAATTTTTTTTATAAATTTTTACAAATTACACTATCTTCTCCCGGAAGAATATAGTGTAATTAGTGTTCTTCTGGAAGAAGATAGTGTAATTTGTAAAAAAGAAGTTTGTAAATATAACCTGCCCGATAAACAAAAACTAGCAAAGAAACAGGAAACATATAATCATATCATGCGAGGTATCAGCAACTATTAACATCATAAAGAAAAACCCTTTTTGTTATTTGTTTACAATAATTACCAAAAGAAAGAAAATCAGCAAAGGTTAACCCATTAAAAACATTTCACTACTATCATTCATTTGGCATAGCTATAACATCATCTTGTGTTCAGGCCTGTGAGTAAATTCAAAATCAATGTGCACGAAAGCTCTTTCAACTTCAGGAAGTTGCTCCAGCTTCTCTTGTAGTGTCTCACCAATATTGTGTGCTTGATTGAGAAGCATGTCTTCTGGCAACACGATATCTACTTCAACAAAGTAATGAGCACCAAATGTGTATGCTCTGACAGTATCTATGTGCTTAACTGCTTCATGGTGATTCCATATTAGATATGTCAACTTTGCCAGAAAATCAGGTGGTGCTGTCCTTCCAATAAGCGACCTTACATTCTCAATTACTGTCTTCGCCCATGTATTAGTTGTATACAATGCTATCTGCATTAGACGTAAATTCAGGATATCATAGTCAATAGATCCAGTCAAGTACACAATCGTGGGAATGAATTCCTCTCATGTGAGACAAGGTCATGTGAGGTGATATCAATTGTCCAAATACAAATCAACGTTATTATTTTCGCACTATTTATCATAATCCTCTAGTCGTGTGAGGAGAAATCATAAGAGGATCTATTTCCAAACAATCGTGCAACACAACAACCACCCTTCAAGAATTTAAATTTGTAAATAATTGGAGTCTGCGAACCTTACAAAATTCTGTGTAAGTCAAAGAAAATAATACTAGTAAAATATGTGAAGATAAAATTAGAAATATTAGTACAGAGCAAGCCATGTGAAGTGAAATGAAATGGAAAGTAGTGGTAGTTATGAACTCACAAAAATAGCTCCCATTGGATCAATCCACCAATAGAACTTGACAGCAAGAACAGCAGCAGCTAATCCGACTGAATTAGTAATAACATCAAAAAAATGATCTTGGGCATAGGCTCTGACAATTTCGTTCTTAAACCTTCGACAATAGACCATAAGAATGAACTTCACTACTGTCACAGATGCCATAATCCCGACCATCCATTTCAGCTTATCATGATCCATTTCAGGCTTAGACTATAAGATAAAGAATGAAACAAGAAATTAGGAATTGATATTTATAGAACATAACACTTGACTCTGCTACACTTCACAGTTCAGATGAATCACTAAAAACTAATTTTCCTCTTCCATCTTTTTCTTAACATATCCACTTGTACAACCATAGTTGTTAAACTTGGACGGTCTGACCGGAAACCACACCATCAACCAGTCCGGTCCCGGTATTGGATCGCTTCTACAATACAATGAGACCGTAATTAATATGGGTACACGTAAGTTTAACCGCCATCCCAAAGTAATTTGGAAATGGATCGTGTGATGTGTAAAAAAAATATGATATTGTCACGTGGAGAGATCACAACCATATAAAGAACGGTTATGATTTCGTAACTATTTATTTTATCATTTTTTCTCTTTCTTCCTTTTTACCGTTGATCTACAACCTTTGTATGGTTATGATTCTCCACATGACATGATCGTGAATTTTCACGTTAGAGGATACAGATCCAATTAATTTACTTATTATTGTACACTTATTATTTTATTTATTATATACTATTATATTAAAAGAAAAACGTTTTTCTTTTTTAAGGATAATCATTTTAATTAAAACTAATCTGTTTTATTTAATATTTAAATTAAAAAAAGCTTCTCACCTTTTCTCATCGTGATTTATATTTCTCTCATCATATAATACTATAATTTTGACTAAAATCAAAAAATTCTATGTCTTTTAAAAGAACAACCACTAATCCAGTGGCGGAGCCACATGCTACCTAGGGGTGGCCTCGCCTCGAGCTAAATTTTAACAAATTGTACTTATCATGTGTAATTATATAATTAATTATAATTTGGCCTGACCTAAAATTTATAATTTGGCCTTATCAAAAAATTAAAATATATTTGGTGAGAGATTTGGATAAGTTGTATTAAGTTGTGTATTCGATTTTCACTTATATAAAAAATTACAAAATATTTAATAAAATTACAAAATATTTAATAAAATTATAACTCTTTTTTATACTGTCTGCTCAGGTGTTTTGTATTTATAATTTAAATATATTATAATATGAACTAATTAAAATTAAAAAAAATAAATACACTTATAATTTTTTTGTCCGGCTCTGCCACTGCACTAATCCCTTATTTTAATCCAGTCTAATCAGCTTAACTAATTACTTACTAATTGAAGCAGCAACCCATTAACTCAGTGCCTTGACTGAATTGATGATCTGAGTTTAATAACATTGCCAACCACCCTTGAAATGGTGTGTCATGGCCCCAAATACTTGATCTCGAATGTTGTAAATTTGCTCAATGGGATTTCATCTCATAAAAGTGAAACAAACACTGATCTCAATTACCTTTGAAACAAGTTCCCGGGCGGACTCAATCAAAATCTGCAATCCCAAGGTTGCCATCACTGATGCAAAAACAATGATACCCTGCATAGGAAGTCCTGATCAATTTGTACCTCTCTTGAGTCTTGGCAATGCAATGGCTATTTTGAAAATACATATCTAGTTACTGTCATTTTCACTCTCATGACATTAAGAAACTATTGCTTGACCCATATTTATCAAAATTTTCACTATCACCTTGAACTCTTACATGTTAAATTAAGACTTACCACTGGTTGCATCCGTTTCTTTCCAATTGGGTAATGGAAATGGTTTGGGTTTTTCATGGCATTGGCAGTGAACCACAATATGAAGCCTGACAAGAGATCCAAGAGAGAATCCAGGGTTGAAGCAATGACTGCTAATGATCTGCTCTCAATTGAAGCGAAAACCTTTGCTGCAAATAGCACCAAGTTAGCTGCATTTGACACATGAACTGCAAGTCTTTCACTTTTTGCTAGTTGCTTTATTTCATCCTGAGAAACATGATGCACAGTTATTTAGCAAAATACACTTTATGAATTCAAAGAAGCAACAATTTTCCCATATTAGCATATGAAAATTTTATATAATTATTCATCATCATGAGTTTGAGATTATTGAATTTAAATGGAAAATCTGACATTCTCACTAGGATTATAGTCAATCCACATCATGCTGTTTTCTGTGTTATTTACACACGGGTTAGTTACGTTACATATATGATAAATGATAATCAACCTCAGTAAGACTTCCTGGGAATAAACCCGTTTCAGTCATAGTATCCATGTCATTATATCCTTCAAGGAGCCTCTCCTGTTTCTTGTAATATTCTGCCACCTTGCGTTGCTTCTCTGAAATCAAATACATAACCAAAAAATTCCTAAGAAGAAGACCACATAGGAAACAAGATTGAATTAAAGCCACACATTAATAAATAAAACATGTTGAATAACAATCTTAGGTAGCAGGGTAGCGCACATTGCAGAAATAGATCGATTCAGAAGCTAGACCGAAAATCTCACACCTGTGCAATTATATTAAGCATAATACGTTGAAGACAAATTTAGTCTTGAATTCTTTAAATATTCATACCTTTTTTGAATACCTTTAAGTCAATAACCAATAATGTCAAAAAATTTAAAGTCACCAATCCGTTAAATGTTTTAAGAAATTAAACATAAAATGAACAAGTAACTGTAGATAATCCTAGTTTTGTTAAATAGACAACCTTTTGCACCCAAGGAAGATGGGCGCAATTGGGTAAGGGGCGTGAGTGGTAAGAGAATTTTATTGGTGGGTCACACATGTCACTCCCGAAAATCCTCAAAGAGGACCCTGTTGGGATACTGGCATTTCCTCTTAAACTTTTTCATCTTCCAAGAAAAAAAAAAAACCAATTCCATATACTTCTAGCAAAGATATAAAGGGTACCCAGTTCTGTACCTCAACGTAACATATTTTTGGAAGAAAGAAACATTCACCCCCATATTTTCTAGGAAAATAATTGTCTATTAAATAATTATCTCATAGAATAAAGATAAAATAATAAAGTCCATTATTTTTAATAAAAAAGAAATAGTGAATCTCATTAATATGAGATATTTATTTCAGACGACACGAGATAAATAGATCACTATTTTTTAACAAGAAACTGCAATGGCCTAAACTTTGATAAAGTAATTCCGTACAAGAAACTTCAACAACAAAGGTATGACATGATTGTGTTCAGAACCAGTCTTTACATGCATGATATGACCCTCTCGTCCATATTTTTAACACATGCAAATTAGCAATCAAACCCTCTCAAGGCTCTCATTTTCGTATGAAAAGAAATTAAATTCAAACCCAGTTACGCGGTATATTCTCTTCCTCACATAAAATCGCTTAAGAACCCCACTTTTTCAAAAAAAAGAATAAAAGCAACTACCACCAACACAATCAAAACAAAGAAAAGAAAAGAAAAGAAAACTTGTTCATATATTCAAAGATTCCTACCATGATTATAAACAACAAAACAACACGTAATTCAACAAATCGAAACCGACCCACTCAAAACAGACACTTTAGAGTTCAGACACTTTCAGAAAAGGAAAACGAGAGAATAGATCAAGAGGGTAAAAAATGGCTCACTGGGTTTGCGAAGAAGGCCACGGAAAGTGAAGGAAGATGGGTGGTGAATATCATGATCATGGTTGTGAGTTTTGCGTGGCAAGTGAAACTCCTTCACATTGAGTCTCCACGACGAGTCTCCCGACTCGTTCTCCAACAGGAGCGGTTCTCCTCTGCCGGTTTCGGCGATGGCGCCGCCGTGTCCGCTGCCACACTCCGACATCGCTGGTCGTTTTTTGTTTTAAATGTGTCTGATATACAAAGACTCCGACTAGTTTAACTTAAATAAGGAAGCCGCGGGGGGGGGGATGCGGTGTGTGACACCTGTAGGATAGTTCATGTGTGGCTCTCACGTGTCATCATTTGCTGCATTTGAGATTTTGGACTAGAATGTATGTTATATGCTCTGGGAATGCACGATCACATAAAACAATGTGGACTACAGCCACAATACCATTATTTTTTTAACGTTTTGTTCACAAATATAAAATGAACGAGTGAATGAAAAAAATTCGGATTGTGTATGAATAAATAAATAACAATAATTTTTCAGTACTCATTTTAATGTCTATGAAGACTTCGAAGAGAAAAAGTTTTGGCGCATTTCTTAACTCTACAATGAGTTCTAGTTTAAGGTTGAATGAATGAGTTCTAGTTTACTTTAAGGTTGAAATGGCTATAACTTCATATAAATTATTGTTTTTTTTTCTGAATTTTAATTTCTAAAATATGGGATTAATGTTTTTTTTTTTTTTTCTATAAGAGAGATAATCTTATCTCATGTACTCACATAAAAAAGTGGGTGGAGTTCATTCTTTCTCTTTTCCTTGGGTCTCTTCAAAGGATTCACCCATCTTTATCCGAGTACAAAAGATAAATGTATCTTTATCTTGTTGAAGAAATATTAATCCCCTAAAATATATTATCTCAGGTTTATAGAATTCACAATAATCTATATATTATGTTATTTCTTCATTTTTCATTAGTGGTCATAGTATTTTTTATTTATTACAATTTAAATTATAGCAGGTCTTGTAAGTTAGGCCTCTTATTTTTTATAATCAAGCCAGACAAGGCCTGTAGATTAGTCTCTATAAGACTAAATTAAAGAGAATCAAGTAAAGTTAGAGTAACAATCTAGTGTTAAGGAAAGTAAAATATTAGGGTGTTACATTATGTGTTGTTCATTGTAGAAGTTATATCAGTTGAACCTTAAACTTGTAATGTAAAAAGTTAATTATGCTTCTGCTTCACCTTCTTTGTTTTTATTATCTCCCTTATATGGTTAGCGTGATACCCTCTACGTAGGTTTCTCCTAGTCAGTAACATAGTCTTAATTTATATCTGTGGAATAATGGAGCAAATATTCCCTTAATGAAATTGTGATTGTGATTATGAAGCGCCTCATTCCCACAATCATGGAGCTATAAAAGGTCTATTAGGATGTCTTTTCCCTCATTGATAATTCATTTTATTCATTTCTTTTCTGCAGATTCAGAGAAAAAAATGGAAAGTGTAGATAAATAATATAAAAGTGAACTTTGCAGTAATTAAGTTAACAATAAAGATGATTTGTTGGTATGTGAACCAAAAAAAAAAAAAAAAGCGTCGTGTAACTCTATAAATAACACATAATTCACCCCCCTCTTGTATGATTGTTTATGTTGAAATATATAAAAACTATTAATGTAGCCTCACCCAATAGCTTAAATTTTTGGGTTGAATTGGTTCTTAACATGGTATTAGAGCGTTCGAAATCTCACCGCCCCCCACTTTCTTTGTAGTTGAATTTCTTTCTTTGGACAGGTAGGTGGGCTTGTATGTTGCCCACCCTTCAAGCACAGTGGGCTCTTGTGTGACGGGGCGTGTTGAAATATATAAAAACCATTAATGTAGCCTCACCCAATAACTTAAGCTTTTGGGTTGAATTGGTTCTTTACATGGTATCAAAACCTCGTGTCCCGGGTTCGAATCTCACCGCCCCCACTTTCTTTGTAGTGGAATTTCTTTCTTTGCACAGGTAGGTAGGCTTGTATGTTGTCCACCCTTCAAGCCCAGTGGGCTCTCGTGTGAGGGGGCGTGTTGAAATATATAAAAACCATTAATGTAGCCTCACCCAACAACTTAAACTTTTGGGTGAGGCTACATTAATGGCTTTTATATATTTCAACAGTTTAGCTATCTTTTCCTTTTAGATTCGATTTGTATAACCCATGAATACAATTGGAGCATTAGTGGGTCCAAACAGAATCACTTGATACTCATAATGCCCGTACCTAAACCTGAATGCAGTTTTAGGAACATACTTCGGCTTAATCTGGACATAATGATACCAAAATCGAAGATCAATCATTGAAAAGACACAAGCGTCCCTCAATCGATCAAGCAAATCATCAATTCGAGGCAAGGGATACCTATTCTTAACCGTCACTTTATTCAGCTGACGATAATTCGTACACAATCTGAGACTCTCATCCTTATAACAAACAAAATTGGTGCTCTCCAAGGAGACACACTTGGCCTAATAAATTTTTTTGATGAAAGATCCTCAATCTGCTTCTTCAACTCATAATGAAGCAATAGAAATAGACCCAACACCAAGCAATAAGTCAATGGCAAATTCAATTTTCCTCTCTAGCGGAAAGTGTGAAATCTCATCAGGAAAGATTTCCACAAATTCATTAATAACTAGAATATCAAAAACTTGCTCCCTAGTCCCACTGACTAAACCTCCCAATAGCACATACTCGAAAGCTCCTCCCTTCCAGGCCTTTCTAGCCTGAAGTATTGATAAGTAAGGAGAAAGACTCTTAATAGTATCTCTAAGAGTCATAACTATTCTTTTACCACAACAATCAATCATCACATAATTTTTCGCCAACCAGTCCATGCCAAAATTGATTTTCAAGCTAAACATAGGCAAACAAACAACATCTACAAAGTAGTTTTGACCCTCATACATAAACTTGATGTAACACCCCGATTTACCTAACCGGAACGCTACGAAAAATAGTACAGATACGCACTTAATTAAATAAGAATAGCATAAGACTTCTTATAAGTATCAGTGATGGGACGTAAATTCGTTCCCATCTAAGCCCATTTTGATGGCAAAATACTACACGTTCCCTCATTTGATGAGCAACTTCAGCATGAAAATCACTTGTTTTGCACATTTGTGATAAAAACACAGTGGGGGAACATATGGTAACATATTCCTTTAAAAGTATATTAAAAGGGGAACGGACTGAGATGCATTTAATGCACCTGCTCCACTCATTTAATGCCTCTGTACACTTTGCAGGAAACGTGGATACAAAGTCTTCGAAAAGCAGAGGCGGTGCACCAACTAAGCATCAGGAAACGTGAAGAGCAGAGAATCAAGAGTTCTCATTGGCCAAAGAAGAAAGCAAGGCATGGGAAGAACTGTAAAGAACGGCTAATCATCAACAAACACTGTCCCATCCAGCAATTTGCACATCTTCTACACTCTATTGCCACCGCCACGTCCCTTCACGCAAGAACCCAGCTCCAAAGGAATTACAAGACTGTCACTCCTCTTCTCCCTATAAATAGACCTCCCACACACAAAAACATCATCGCATTCTGGAGGGATTGAAGTCCTAAAGGAAGAAGATCACCTAGTAGTAGTAGTAGCTTAGTTTTATTTAAGTTGTAACTGTAACTAAGTGACAACCCCTCTTCTTTTCTCTGTATCAACCCTTAAGACTCCTCACGAGCATCAAACCATCCTTCTCCATTTTCTATTTTTGTGTAAATTGTCTTTTAATTTAATATAAGTGTTTCTTCTTTTCGTTCTATTTGTTATCTCTAAGATGAATCTCGGGTCTATGGGATTTCAGATTGGAATAATTATGTTTCAAATATCAGCCATGGGCTGAACTATCTGTGGAACGGATAAACTGTAAAACTCTTAAAGAACTATTTTCAAAACTCTTGACTGAAGCTTTTTGTATTTCTTTGGCTAAGTAAGCTATATTCATTGTGTATCAATGGAAATTGAACACATACTGAGAAAGGAACTTCCATAAGGAATGGATTTCAGACAGCTTAGCCATTGGGGGAAGGTAGTGTCATGGCAAAAACACTACTGGTCACCTTAGGAATAAGGGGCCAACTCGTCTATTTTAAGGTTTTGTAATAAGTACCTGTTGGAGTCAAGGGAGCCATAGGAATATGGAAACTTGTGAGCCATCTAGTCCATGAGCTGAGGAATTAGAGTTGGCAGATAAGAAATTGGGACAAAGCCAAAAAGTACTAGGTCTTGAGTAGAGAAAATAGCTATTTAAGAATAGAGCAGTGAATCCGTTCCTTCTGTTAAACTGTTTTAAAACCATCCACTTGTTGTCTCTTAATTATAGTTATTTCTGTTTAAATATTTATACTTTATTTTAAGTTGTTATCTATCAAACTCCAATGAATATTATCTCACCTTCTTCTAATCAGGAAGGATCACATACATAACGCAACGAGCAATTGTTTGTCATCAGATTGAACTTATTGTTCCTGAGGAACGTTGTCAAGACAGTAAGGAACGTTAGAACAGACAGTTCATTCACTAACTTTTCTTTTCATTTTCATTCTTTATAAAACAATATAAGACAATATCTATAGTTCTATCCTCGTGGGAACGATAATCTGGGCCTTAATACACCCTTTATTACTTGATGCATGCACTTGCGTACTTGGGTTAGAAGTAAGGGAGCGAATCTGTGTTCTGTTTAGAACAGAGGAACGTCCCCATTAGAACTTATCTTTTTCCACCATCAGCAAACCACCCAACAAGTTTTTGGCGCTGTTACCGGGGATAGCAACACTAAATTTTGTTCTTATTTACTGTTTTTAGTACATACTCTGTATATCTGACTTTACTTTTTATTTTCTTGTCACTAAACCTGCTGTTTATATAACTTGTGTTTATGGCTTATGAGTGAAGAGTTTGAAACAAACTCTTGACCACTCCATTGAAGTACTTGAGTTTCTCTTTGATCCTGAACCAGAACGTACACTTCATAGGAGAAGAAGAAACCTTAGGGAAGAAATTCTTGAAAACATGGCTGATTACAATAATAACAATGAAGATGTTCCTCCTGAACAAAATTTCAGAACTCCGGCTGCTCATTTCTGGAACAGACCAGATAGGGGAGTAATCCTCCCTCTTGTAGCACCAAACTTTAAGCTAAAACCTATCTTGTTCCACATGATTAGGGAAGCAGGGG